TGTTTAATTGAAGAAAAAAGTAGAAAAAAATAAACAAACATCCTGTTGAATAAAGGTCTGTTTTTGTTTTTTAAAATTTTTTTTACTATTTAAACTGATCACATATTGTACTATTTAGAATGGTAACTATTGACTTGGATACTATTTACATCTGTTACCTATTATGGGAGGGGAGTATAAACCTCCTATCAGCATTCTTTATCCTGTGGATAATAATCCTTTTCAGTTTCATATTTTAAAAGTAACAAGCTCATTTCTCTATTATGAGCTTATTTCATTTATATTCAACATTTCATATTGTGATGTATATTTTTAATCATCATTCATTGATCCTTAATCAATTATCTTTGTATGCATGGTAATTGTTGGTTTCTATCTATTATATGTAACAAAGAAAAAGAAAAGAAACAATAAAAAGATGTGAAAAATTGATTATTGAATAATCGATTCATCTGTCTAATCTCTTTCTTTCTTTTTTTTTCTTCTTTTAAATCTACACTTTAAAACCAATATTTTACGTGATATAATTTTGTTTACAATGGGGGTTATTCTATTCCTCTTTTTGTGTATATTTATGCAGCATACACACTGTGATGCAATAAATACCCATTTATTTATTTAACGTATTCACTGTTTTTTGCTTTAATCATTGATTTAATCAATTTTTTTTGACTAGAAAGTATAGATAAGTGATGTTGTATAGAAATAAACCTGAAAACTCTTTATCTCATTCAATTCTCCTTGTATCTTCATGTAGAAGTAGTAGTCTAAGACTATCAAATCTGAGATAATTTCAGTAGTTGAGATGATAAGTCAATCAAAGCTAGACCACTATGGAAAACCTGGGATCACTGGACGGCGGTTTTGTTCTACTGTGGGATCCCTTATCAGTGCGCATCCACGATCCCCCCCTCGAGATTCGAACACAGGACCTAGCCTCAATTGACTCATGAACTAAACTATTGAAATCACTATAATATCCAAAAACGCCCCTTCTGATATTAATCAACATATGCTCAGTAGTGACTGGCTTCTTGGAGTTCTAGTGAGAAGCATTGACCAGTGGAGTTCAACCAGGTCTCTTGTGAAATAGTAACTCAGTGAAGGCAATGATGGATGTATCGCTCGATTTCGTGGATTATTAGAAGTTTGACATTAACACAATTGACTGCCGATTCAGTGGTCTGGTGGTTAAGCGCGTGAGACTGATAGGTCTTGTGTTTGAATCTCGTGAGGCGTTATCGTGAATGCGCACATATGAAGAGTTCAACAATGGGACGAAAGGGCCGCACAGTACTTCTAGGTTTTCCATGGTGGTTTAGCTTTAATTGACTCATAATCTTAACTATTAAAATTACTAACCCCTTCAGATAATTTAAGATTATTTTAAGGACACAGCACTTAACAATTTATTGATCACCAAGTAATGATCAATATCATGTTTATCTGACTCCGTAGTAATAGTTGAATTCTATTTGTGACCTTGCAACGTGATGATGAATTTGATTGACTGAACATCGCATGCACTATGTTGCGATGTTAGTTGGTTGAAAGTAGTCAACAGGAAACCCTTAAATAGACAAACTACATTAGTTACTACTCAGTGATCATTCGAAATATTTTATCCCTCTACAGGATATCACTCGCTATCAGATTTGTGCAAGGGTAACATCTCAGACTTCGAAACTGAGTGACGCAGGTTTTCACCATATAGGAAGCATTGATTCCCTCAGTATTAAAGGTGTCCCTTCTATGCGAATGCTAGATGTCACGAAACCTATGTCGAATAGGGCCTAGTATCGACTATCCATTATTGCCTACCAAACAGTAGTTTATATTAAAATCCTCGTTAATGGTATTTGGAACCAAACTTCATCTGCTGTCTTTTAAACCTTAGAAGATTACCTATGGTCATTTTCATACACTAGACACGACTGAATTTTCTGTAATCTATCGCCGTATATATTTACCAGATATCGGCACTGCACTCTGAATGTTCATAACCTTCAGAAAATTTAATATTGACAGGATCACAGTTAGATTTCCAAACTGCCCCACTTTATTTTGACTTCAAGGAAACTATTCATGATCTTCAGATGTAACTAAGTGATCTGTGATCTGACTATAACCCTAAGAAACATAACACTAATTGAATTTTACTCATCTCAGACAGGTTAGCTCTCACGATCTGAACATACATAGGGAATTTCCAGTTTTTTAAAAGATCTATCATATGTAATGAATCACTTTTATATGTATGGACATCAGTGAATCAAAACTCAGATCTCAACTCTTATTTATAAATTCCATGCTTTAAAAGGCTGGAGTTCCACTCAACACATACATAAATCCTAGTTTTCAC